TTTAAACCAATCTTCACAGGTTGTTTTCGATGGTGCATGTTCGCCGTAAGCCTCCTCAAGCAAACGACGTGCTTCAACTGCAATTTTGACCAAGTGAAAGCAGAAAAGCAAGACTTCCCGCGAATGCTGTTTTTTTGGCACGAAACCCGACATTTTCACTGTTGCATAAAAATTTTTTTCGTCGCGAAACTGGAAATATTTTGATTGATTATTGTCGTCAGATGTCGCAGCTACAAAAAATAAACAACTTCAAACATATATGTCGACTACATGTATCGTTGGCGCCATCCATGTGTGAAACCCGGAAACTTATTTGTAAAATGTGAATTTGGTTATAGAATAATAAACTATTTTACCGTTTTTTCTGCTATTTCGCAACATGTGAAGTGTAAGACGTGTAATTCAGACATAAAGTTTGATGAAACAAGTCCTCGGGGTTTAGGATTCAAAATAACGATCTCTTGTTCGAATTGCCCAAGAGTTGAAATTCCAAGTAGTTCATTCATAAAAAATGCATATGAAATTAACCGTCGAATCGTACTAACAATGCGAATATTAGGAGTGGGGCTAACTGGAATAATGAAATTTTATGCATTCATGGAATTACCTCGACCGATATTCCAATCTTTTTACGACCGAATAGTGGATACGATTTCGATCGCAACGGCAACTGTGCGAGAGGCCAGTATGAAGAAAGCGGCAAAAGATGAGAAAAAGAAAAGTGAAGAAAGTGAAGAAATTAGAGGAATAACTGTATCCGCGGTGACGGGTCGTGGAGAAAACGGGGGTTTTCGTCACTTTTCGGAATTACGTCATTGATTGGATGGTTTACGGGAAAAATCGTCGACGTTGAAGTAAAATCCAAATATTGTAAGACTTGCGAGCACTGGAAGAGAAAAGAAAATACAGCCGAGTATGAAGAATGGTTCCTTACACATGCCAATCAATGTCAGTCAAACCACAAAGGATCATCTGGTAAAATGGAAGTAGACGCTGTCGTCGAAATGTTTGAACGCTCCGACACATTACACGGTATGAAGTACGTAAATTACATCGGTGATGGGGACAGCAAAACCTTCAAGGGCATCATGGATAAACAACCATACGACAATTTTGAAGTGAAAAAAAAGAATGCATTGATCATGTGCAAAAGAGGATGGGCACACGATTGAGAAATCTTAAAAATACAGTTAAAAACCTCGGCGGAAAAGGCAAATTAACTAATAAGTTAATTGATCAATTGACAATATATTACGGCTTGGCGATACGGCGTAATCCGAATTCGTTAAAAAATATGAAAAATGAAATATGGGCGACCTTATATCATAAAACATCAACCGACGAAAATCCCCAGCACGAGCTGTGCTCCGAATCTTGGTGTAACTGGAAGAAGGCACAAGCAGCGAATTCCTTACGTGACTTCCATCATAAGCCGCCGCTACCGGCTGATGTTTTTGAAAAATTAAAACCGATTTACGTGAATTTGAGTCGCGACGAGTTGTTGAATCGGTGCTTAGGCGGATATACTCAAAACAGCAACGAAAGCTTCAATGCGACCGTATGGAACTTAGCTCCTAAATCTTACTTAAGTGGCAAGAAAGTATTGCAAATAGCGACTGATATTGCTGTTTGCAATTTTAATGACGGACTAAGTAATATTTTACGAATTATGCAAGTTTTGGAGATGACAATTGGACCTCAGTCTTACAATTTTTGCGTCGAAGCGGACGCTGCGCGGATAAAGCACGCCGAGGTGTCACTGTCGGATGCAGCGAAAGAAGCGCACTCCAGCCTAAAATCGACAAAAAAAGAAAACGAAGAGGCCAATTTTAATCTAGAAGGGCAGCTTTATGGTCCAGCAGATTAATGGTAAAACATTTTAACTGTCAAATTTTTCATTTTTTCACATCCATAACGGAACTCAAAACTTTAAACGTCGTTTTCTCGACCCACGTTTTTTCATCACGGCACGCAGCATAACTCAAACAATTTTTATTTTGTTAACTCAAAATTTTTACCACAGCTTTAAAAGGACATTCCGCAAAGAAATACGTAGGGGATTTTCGATACGTTGAATTTTAGATTTTATATGTACAATTTAATCTTCATTTTTTGGTCAAAAATTGGACTGTTAACTTCAAATGCTCGCCAATTACGCAAAAATGAATATTTTCAAAATCCTCTACGTATTTCTCTAGCTATATTCATCTAGATTAAGAAACAGTTTTTTAATTTGTTCCAGATTCAATCCTACGACACTTACACTGCATGCCGCGGAGGACCTCAAATTTAACCAGGCTCGCGGAAACTGCTCTATCGCCGCCATTTTTCAACTTTTTGCTGCGAAAATTTTTGTTTAAATACTTCAATACATGCTTAAAAACATCCTTGAATATTATTATCTTCTTACCCTTCCTTGTACCGAAAAAAAAATCGTAAATATACGCTTCTTTTTCACAAGTTACAGTGGTGTAACCCCTTAATATTTGGTGGCGATGTTTGTTTTTTGGGAACAATTATAGAGGCTGCAGCTTTCAATACACTTGCAGAAGCATTGTCTGACAAAATCGATAAATTGCTTAGAGCAAGTGTACTTGATGAATCCTTAGAATTCACTTTAGAGAACATCTCTTCATCCTTACTTGAAGATTCTAAACCAGAATAAATATAGAACATGAGTATGCACAATAACTATCACTTGCAGTATACTTAATAACAATTCCATTTCATTATTGTTTACCTGTAAAGAATTCAAACATATTCAATACATCTGAGCTGTTATCAGAATTACTTTGTGATGATGTACATGGTAGTATTGAAATAACTTATTGAACGATGACAATGCTACCTCTACCCCAATTTCTACTCTTCTGTATTGTAGACGGGACTAGCGTAAACTCCTTACTCTTTGCTCCTTAAACCTACTCTTACTTCTTAAACCAAGCTTACTACGTATATTGTAGACGGGCCTTTAGATTCCTCGACAGGCTATATTCTCGAGGTGGACTTGGAGTATCCACATCTCCATGACGTTCACGCGGACCTACCGTTTTGCCCGACGCGCGAGAAACCATCCGGTAAGCGAGAAGACAAGCTCCTCGCTACGTTACACGATAAAAAGCGTTATATAGGCTGCGTTCAGCAGACTCAACAGTTTTGCAACCGTTTTATGATTGTCTGCTGAGATAGGACCATTCTTCTAGATCTAAAAGTATGATCCAATTAGCGCGAAGGAAACTTCCAACAGTTGCAAAACAAACGTTCTGCTGAACGCAGCCATTGTGACCGGAATCACCCTCCGATCGCTTAGTCTCGATCCCGCCTGGCTTACTGTTGTCTCGGTCGCCACGTCTTTTGACCTTCAAAGACGAAGGTGGTCTCGACCACCTCCCAGCTGCGTGCCACCCATTAGCTGGGTCTGAACCCCTGCTCGGTCTCCAGTCTCGGATATGGCCGCAGTAACCCAGAAGGAAAGGTCTCACAATTAACAATTTAGATCTTTGTTAACAAAACAGCACTTGAGTATATTTGTCCAAAAATATATATACATATGTACAGCCGATCTCAATTTTGCGATTCCGATCTCTTCCAGCTCTTCGCCCTTTAATCGCGTATCGCACTCTTGGGACTTTGACGGACCCCTTTGCTCGGTCCCTACATCATTTCCTATCGGTGCGCTTGTATTCTCGCGAATCTTCTCCGACTTATCGCTGTTACGGTTCCGGTATCACACTACTCGTCCGCTCTACTCGACGTCTCGGACTCGACTCCCTCTCGGCGCGTCGCGAGGGGCTTCCCCCGCTTTTCCGCGCTTTTTCCGAGCGCTTTCGCCCGTTCCTTTTCTCACCAGGAACGGCATAGTGGGACCTTGCCTATCGTCGGCCACCCTTTCCAGAGACTCCACATCTGAGGAAGGTGCCATTGTTAATGAGTGTATAATTCGTTTTCTCTGCTCCAGGTCGCCGCTCGACTGAGAGGATCCCACCGTTACCCGCTCTAATATATGATTTAACCATAACGCGTCGCAGGCTGTTATGGAGTCGTACTCCCAACCTCTGGCTTTTGCACTGTCGTTGCGCTATATTCCTTCTACTTGGTGTGCTGACCCGCTTCCAGCTCCTCTCGTCCGCTCCGCTGGTCCAAGAGGCGTGTCCCCTACGGTCTGCGTCATTTTGATTCGGAATTTCGAACCGTCATTCTCATCCATTTCTCCTGGCCCGTCGATTGGTATCCCTCCGGTTCTTTCAGGTTGATCCGCTGGCTCGAAACACGTGTCCACCATCGTGGGCGTGGTCCAAAATTTCATTTTGGATCCGTCAGTTGTGTCCTCGACTTTTCCTCGTTCCGTTGGACCTGGCGTCCCGGTCCCGGGTGGTCCCGTCTGGCCGGTTCACGTGTCCCCTTGGTGTGGTTGTAGGTGTATCTCCTTCTGCGCGTGACCTGCTCCTCGCCGTGTTCCCATTGCCGGTTTCCTCGCCTGGGATGACTCTAGTGCCATTTCCCCTTCGCATGGGAATTTTGGTCCTAGCTCCACTCTGTCTGTCTGACCCGGATACTAAATACGGGGCCCATGTTCTAAGGTAGGCCTAACTAATCGGACCCTAATAACGACAACTGAAAATCTCACCCCTTACGGTTTACCGGGCGTAAATGATCCATGGAGATGTACCTTAATAATGGTAACTGAAAATCTAACCCGTTAATCGATCCATGGAAACGGACCTTAATAATAATAGTAAATAAAGAATCTAATCCGTTTAATGGTCCATGGAAACGGACCTTAATTATAATAATACTAACAGAAACTCTAACCCGTTTAATGATCCATGAGAACGGACCTTAATTATAATAATACTAACGGAAACTCTAATCCGTTTAATGATCCATGGAAACGGACCTTAATCATAACTGAAAAATGTAACTCGCTTACTGATCCATGAGGACGAACCTTAGTAATCATAACTGAAAAATGTAACTCGTTTACTGATCCATGAGGATGAACCTTAATAATCATAACTGAAAAATGTAACTCGTTTATTGATCCATGAGGACGGACCGTAATAATCATAACTAAAAAATGTAACTCGATAAACAAAATAGCGTCCATCTTACCTCAAGTCTTATTTCTAAATCTTAACACGCAACTAACCATAACTTGCGCGACCTTGCGCTGGCTGCCTATTCACTGTGGGTGCTTTCCAGCAAGAGACACGGTCGACACAGTGTGACACAGTGTCGCTGTAAGTGCTTTCCTACTATGACACGACACGACACACGTCGACACAGCTATTTAGCAGAGTCGGACCGTGTCTGTATCATTGCTGCCAAATTTAAAACTTAAACTTAAAATTATACGCAGTTCGTTATATTATGCTGGTATGGTGACAGGTTTCGTAATCTCAATCAACTTTAACGATCTCTCGTTTCGCGGGACTGAGCACAGGAGCCTAATTTCATCCAAATCGGAAGTGAAACGTCTTCTGGATAATTCTGGATAACCAAAATGAGGTGCAGTCACTGTAGTGAAGAAATAATATCACTTGATGATGCTTCGCAGCACCCATGCTTCATTGGGAAAGATATATTTCTAGATGATGAAAATAATTTATTTACACAAACAGAGAATAAACAACGTAAATAGACATATTAATCCTTTAAAAGTTTAAACTTAATTTTTTGTTTAACATAAATTTTAAAACCATTCAGTTGAGAAACGGAAATTTTATTCTTTTATTTAGTTTACTAGAAACTACATTATGTTTTTACAGCTGCTATTTGGGATAGAAACGCTACGTTAGCTCTTCTCAGTCTTTATGAAACTAAAATAGATTTGCTGGATAATCCCAAAAAGAACCAAAATATGGGAAAGTATGTCCACTGATTTACAAAAAGATTTTGGCATTCAGGTACATAATGAACATGTGATATAATAAACGTGTAATATAATAAACTTTATATTACAAGTTATATATACTAACAAATTATATATGTTAAGAAGATTACAGGTTTTCTCCATAACTTGATCCAACATCAAGACGAGAAGCAATTCAATACTATATCGGATATGTAAGTATCAGTTATAAGGGCTCGTCTACAATAGGAGTCATGGACGTAGTCAAGTATTCTCATCATATTTGACTGTGATTAGTCAATTTCCTACGACTTAAGACTCCACGATCGTCCACGACTCCTATTGTAGACGCTGCCTAAATATCAGATTGCTTATTGTTCTAGAATGAATTGTAATGTTCACGAAGTGTTGGTATTAACGATGGATTAACACAGAGACAACCTATAAAACTTCTTAGCATTCTTAAAGAAAATATCCGTTAAAACTATGAAAGCGCGATAGTCTCATTAGTGCATGGTGCGACAGCATACATCCACATCAGCCGGTGCATAGACATTTTCTGCTGTAACAATTTAATGTTAAATTAGTCAATCAGCGATATGAACTATCGAATGTCACTTTGTACAAGTATAGTAAAATTAATTAATACATACAATTTTAACGTAATTTCGAATGTCAATTTATGATTGCATTTCAAGTCCAACAATCATATCGGCACATGGTTTATAGAATTGAAAAGATATATGTAATAATTGTGTACAATCAACATACGCACCACAAACATATGACAGAGGTCACCACGCTCGGCAACGAGTATAAGAACTTAGGAGGATGTAATAATTGATATGAAAATACTTTTAAGCACTTAAGATCTTACTTTTAAGCACTAAGATCTGCTTTGATCAAAAAATGGCACTTCTTATTTCTTGATTCATTCACATATCGGTCTAATATTCTACTTATTATAATAATTTTAATTTTGTCTTTCAGATGTCTGTGGACCAAGTACGTTGGAA